AGATATATTCCTGCTTTTCGTGATACCGGTCGAACAACTGGTGAACGACTGTTCCCTATCGACTATTTTCGATAGACAACGAAATTCTTCGTGTACCTGAAACGCGAGTCGCTTAATATTCATATCAGCACGAGTGTGATCGAATTCGACGTAACTAACTGTCATGCTGTAGTAATTAAAAGTTGAAGCATTTTTAACACAGAAATACATATTTCCCGTAACAGTGGTATAATTTATAATCCCGAGTACCATTTTAGCGTATAGAAAAATGCGAATAGAAAAATTTGACGAAGAAATGTAATAAAAATTTGCAAAGAAATATATTTCACGTCTCAGTCTCAGAGACTCTGATCTATAAAGAAGATGTTACTAAAAATGCGAAGGAAATAATAAAAATACAACGTTTCGCGAATTTAAAACCACGCTCCACTTTGGCCGATACCAATCGCCAGAATGGCAACGGCTCCGAGCAAAATACACTAATTACAAAAATATACGGAATGGAAGGAAGGCATTGAGAAAGAAGTCAACGTTCGTTATGACACGTATCACAAAGCCGCAATAACTCTGACGAAACGTAACCGGCAATACGTGTAATTTGCTACAGGGTTTAGAGAATGTCGGAAGGGCCAAAGCAAATGGTGCAAATGCGTGTACGTCGAATTTCTTCTGTATGGATATCGTTGCAAAGAGATATCGCTGTGCAGAAAATTCGAGCTCCCTGCGACAAAGCTTGCACGGAACATGTGCAAACGTCTTTTGGCATATGCGTGGATCTGACACGACAGCGGCCATTACGCGACAAAGAGGCGAAACGTGGACGGACAATTACACGCCTCGATGCCGGGAAACCAGGTTTACAGGTGTGTTTACACGCGAATAAACAACGAACTATTGGGCAACGGCACATGCTATGGTTAATCGTTTCAAATTTCCGAAGAAAACTGACCAGTTTCGGAAGGAGTTCGAGAATTTTCTAAAACCCGATTCGCGATCATCTTGTTCCAAACCATAAAGTTACGTGATGAATTAAGGTAAATTGTACAGGTTTCGTGGAGAATTAAATGATATAAGTTGTAGCAGTAGATGTTGCGAAATTAAAGATAATAATTAGTAAGCTGTAGTATATAATAGGTAAAGGGATGAATTTTTGATGAAAACTGGTCTTTTTAGCGTTCCTGTTTTTGATAAAATAAAATGATTGAAATAATTGTTAAATAGCGTGATACTAAAGAACTAGATTCTCCAGATACAGAATTAAAGAGAAAGGTGAAAATTACTCTCTCAAAATGACCTGATATAATAACGAAATACCACATATGACAATATTTTCTTAATGTTCACCAATTCTTTGAAACTCGTAACATTTTTCTGACAATAGCTATGTAAGAAATTATTCGCTAAATAAAATGATTTTGGGGAACAAGATCAATGTTTCATCCTTACCTGCAAAATAGTCCTTTCGATTTTCACTGCTGACCTGCAGATTTCAGTGCTGCCAAACCACCCAATTTTATTGGTAGAGCGAACTTAAGCACGTTGTGGAAATTTACAGTCGAATCTTCGATAATTTCTCTCTGGGTGTTAAGGTTCCCGGACTAGCGACGGTAGCCATCTTGGCTCGACAGAAAACAAGACGTATCATTGAACTTGTACTGCTGCCGAATAAATACTTTAATTCGAATAAATACTCTTAGGCTACTCTACCCGTAATTTAACTTTAGAAATTGATAATAACTCTTTAAAGATAACTAAATCGATCTATCTGTATTTACAATGATCCCGGATGCACAACAGTTACCAACACACCAATTCCTCCTGGATACCCACTAGAATCCATAAAATTTCCCAAAAGAGATAACAAGTTGAATAAACTACATACAAAAGGACTAACAATCTTTCAAGAAACCACACTATGCACCTATATTATACCAACTACGCGAAACACCTATCTGTAAAGCGACGAATAAAGTAACTAATTCCATTAATCATCTCAACGTCTACCGGCCGTCATTACGAACTAATAAAATCCCCGTAAGCAATGCGTAGTTACCACTCGAACCTCTTCTTGTCCGTGTTTATGTAGCGAATTTTGCTGAATTCCGAAATCGCGACCGCGAGCGAACGTTGCTTGACCACGACGAGCGAACACAGGAGAGATCGAACCGGAGGTTCTTTTATCGGAAGGATTGCGACGTCGTAGGTGCACGAGGTATACGCGTGATCTATGGCTCGCAGTTCCTGCTCTATGTTCGCGGCTGCAGGGGTGGCCAGGTCTGGGTGAGCTGGCCAGGACGCGTCGCCTTTGATCGCCTTCGCTCTGGAATACGCCCAATCGAGAAATCGCGTTGACGGGGGTTGCCGAGGGTCGTAGACGATTGGTCGACAGGCGTGGCGTACCTATCGGAGCACACGGTGGTTGCACGGGACCTCGGAGGGTCGCAACCCCTTGGCTGAGGGAAGGCTCCGCCGCCGGAAGCGCGAAAGTCAGCTTGACGCGCGTTTCGCTTGACGCGGGGAAACTGTTCGAAGCAGAGGATCGGAGGTCTGTGTGGCCGCAAGCTCCATCAGCGATTCGTTGTGCAGCCCCGGCTTGTTTGAGGAGTTCGTGTCACGGGTAAGGTGTATCCGACGGGGATGCGATCGTCGAGCACTGGGGGATGAAATGCTTCGAGGCGATCGAGAGAGTATTTTAATACGTTTCTGTGTCATGCGTTTCTCGCTCCCCGCTTTTCGTTTCGTGGCTTGTCGGTTTTAATGGCCTGAAGGTGTGGAGATTGACACTTGCTACGTTTTTATTAGATCATTGGGTCTAGTAGAGTGAGTTAGGATTGTTCTCTTTTATTTTGCTTTAAACGAAGACAAATCCTCGCAATATCGAATCGAGCTGCCCTACTTGGAAATATTAAAGGTTCCGTGCTCGAAATATGTTATAAATTTTAGAAATAATCGCGGTGAAGATACAAACTCGATTTCGCGATTCAATTTTTTGCTATCTTGTCAGGAATGATTATATTTTATTGAAATTTAAGCGAGATTCTAACGAGCGGCAAATGAACCCCGGACAAATTTCCATCGAGGCAGAGCTCTGGTTCGTGCACTTTTCAGAAAGGCGACAGCGGTGAAACGTTAGTGAGTGACACCTGTATGTTTCGCACGGTTCAAGCAGTATTACGAGAGATGGTCGTAATAACCAGCGCTGTCGTTGAATATTTTATTTATTATTGCCTGAAAATCAATGGAAATCAATCATCTCTCGTGCGCTTATTCTATGTTTACTGATCGCTACTTTGCACAATCTTTACTTCTTTAACTATTTACTTCTGTGACGTTAAATGCATTAATGCAATAACGATAAAAATCATACCTAAATTACGAAAAACACAATGGAAGCTTCGATTCGAATACCATTACATTTCCCACGGAGTACCTGTCGCGAAAAAATATCCTTTCGATTCCTTCAATATTTAAAAAGACTGCGAAATATAATTTAAAAACCACTTTCAAGTCTGAATAAATTATACAATAACATTCGGCCTTGATAATTAATTTAAATAATTATGAAGCATAATTTAAAATACCGAACGTCATAATTTACGAAGAATGGATTATTTTGTAGCTTTAAAATGGATACCGTACGAGTATACTCACTTATATGCGAAAAATTTGACGATTGCGATGACAGAGGAAAATTGAAACGATCAAAAAGAAGGAAATATATATATATGAAAAAGAAAAAATGAAGAGTAGATGGGAAAACTTAATTTCCAGCGCGTCGGTGCGATTCTATCGGGGCAAAGTAAGCGGTCTGCACTTGATAGGTCGAAGGATCCGCGGGATTCTGAAGCACCTCCTTGACGTGGCAGGAGCAGAAAATCGCGTTGAAGTGGTAACGGTCGGGCTAATGGTTCGGAGACGATATTTTGTTAAACAAGGAAACCTTTTATCCCCCATACCATTTCTTGGACGAACGCTCGGGGACAGGGACGGCTTCGTTTCAAAAGAACTCGGCTTCCATTCACCCTCGTAGTTACCCTCTGTACACTATGAGTTTCATTAAACGTATTTACGTACTTTATTTTTCCTGTAAACACCGATCAGCAATTAAATTTCTTATTTACATCCGAAACGAACGAGCCTTATTCGTGCGAAATGATAATATCAACATACTACAAGATCGACTATAACATTGATTAATTTTCTACCCACTTTCCCTCAATTTTCTTAAATTTTTATTTCAATTAGAAATAACGTATGTAGAAATACGTTGAAATATTCCGTAAATGTTTCATAAATATTTCGGTCCAAGTAGCTGGCATAACGAGTAGATATTACCATTCTTCGAGGGACAGCCATTGATCTATTTGTGACGTACAGCAACCTGAATCTCTCGATTCGAAGCGATAAAAGCGTCCCTGTACCGTCACTTTGGTTTTCTTGTCACCAGGAGAGAACGAGCTGGAAGTGTGAACCGTCGACCACCACGACAAGACACCACCTGCCCTTTCTCACGGTTCGCCCACGCATATAGCGCCATTCTCGCGAATTCCTTCGATCCCTTCTGGCCTGAATCACTTCTCGCTTTCTTCAGCCCTTCTCAGATGCGAATCGATATGGCTCGCGTAACTATCCAGGCAACTCCTGCTGAGTTCCGTTCGTGGTAAGCCTCGACTGACAAGTTAATTCACTCTGTTCCGACAAGTTGAGCAAATGATGCATGGACGCTCAATGGGAACGTCGTGTGACTTTAAGTGTGTCATTTTTAACCGCGTCGTATTCCCTTATGGAAACACCTAGAATTTTGTCAATCAATTTGTCCTTTCTTTTATCTAAAACTCTGTATTTCTGCATTTTTATGTAGATTTCTATACTTGATAAATAGTCGTATTCTTACAGGCTTACCTAGTATCGATTTAGAAGAAAATATTTATTAAAGGAATTTTTATAAATGTATTATGAAAGAAACAACTGGATATTTGTTTCTATGTAATAGTAATTCTATCAATTATCGACTGAAAAATAACGAGATGGAAAGTTAATAGAAATGAAGAGAAAAGAAAAAGAAAAAAGTGGTTCCGACCGGGATCGAACCGGTGACCTTCTGCGCGTAAAGCAGACGTGATAACCGCTACACCACGAAACCGCTGTGAGTAGTGACTCTCTGAAAGATCAGATCTGGTACAATTTTTATTTTCGCTCGCATGAAGAAAATTATTTCTGTTTGTGATAATAAATACCGTTGACTGCAAACGATATGTTTTAACGCGTAATGCAGAAAGTAATTGACTTAAGGCAATAATAATTATGTCTGACGTCACGTTATTGCTCAATGTATGCTCGAGATAAGGACTGATAAAAATGATATATAGGTATGTAAACGATGACATTCGAGTATTTCATGTTTCATATTAATTACAACGAATTGTAGTTTAAAAGGATGTTATTAGAAATTGAAAGATGTCTCGTATGTCGTTGCATTTTATTTATAAACATGTGAAAAGTATACAGTAATTAATGTAGATCACATACTAATGGCAGTGATTACAGTATTAATATATCTTATATGTACCTTATAAATAACAATGTTAACGTTGTATTGCATCTCTTACATTCTACTTAAGTTTTGAATGGCACTTTCCTATTCCTTCGTGTGTCTAAATTGGAAGAAATAATGGTATTTGATATAAGTACATGGGAAGAAGATATAAACGTGTACTCGCGTGGAAATAAATTCAAGTGATTAATAAATTATCCGTTAATCACGTTGATTACAACACTGGGAGAAAATACGAGGAAACTATTATCGAATAATCTACAATTGGACTTCAGTCTTGCCAATAGAAGCGTGACGATTTGATTTATTTGAAGCAAATTGGTCCAATGGTGAAACCAAACGCCTGATGCGGCAATCCATAATCAACTGGATAAAAATCTACCAATGGTAATTGTTGCAACTTTTTACTGTGAATCAGGAACACCGTTTCGCCTTTACTCTTGCGTGTTTTACATTTGTCTATAACGACTTGTGGTTTGATACCGGTATACGAAAATTCGTCCTCGTTCGCACCAAGAAGACGTAGGGAGGAATTGTGATTAAAGCTTGTAGCATTGTACCACGCCGCGCTGTTTATGCAGGTATAAGTAAAATTCTGATAGGCTTCTTGACTCAGTAATCGCAGAAAATTTAATTGCACTACGCCCATGGCCTCGTATGTAATCTATATCGTAACACGTGACGAGAAATTTATGTATCATTTTTTGTTAGATAATTATTTCCCTAAATAGATGCGAACTCACTTTAAATCCACCACGCAGATTCGAGTACCAATCTGTCTTGTTATTTTCCTTCCTCCATGGTATATTTGGCATTTGACTTGTATGGATGTCAGGGTATACGCAAGTTTCACCCATATTCGTTAGATTGCAATAAACGTACACAGCGTCGTCAGCCATTCCTAAATTCGGATCAATCCAGTACCAACCTGTTATCGATACAATTTCATGAGTTTTCGAACCAGTGATACGGTTAGAAATGTCAAGGAAATAAATCGAATACTGACCATCGTGAAAATGTGGATGACCGTAAAATAGATCCTTACAAGTCCTTACAGGATTTTCTCTACTTCCAATTGGTTTACGTATTCGATCCAATTCTTGTCTCATAGCATATATAGAACTGTACATATCCAAGAATTTCGGTCCAAGCTCCTCTTCGGTGTGACCATCTTTGTCCAAGCTTTCTGACTTCCTTTCTTTCTCGTCTTCGCCGGTTCTGGAACCATTTGCAACATCGCAACGATATTTAGAGATATGGGCATCGAACTTTATTTCAGTAAACTTACGTATTTGTCAAAACGTCGCGTCTCTTTCGCAGAATTTGCTCTCTCGTAAACAGCAACTCTGGTGGAATCATTGGTTGCTCTGCAGGTGGTCCAGGTGGACCCGGTGGTCCAGGAGGACCGACTTCGCCTTTAGCTCCATCATTTCCAATATTGCCTTTCGGTCCTAGTGGTCCTTCCAATCCAGGAAGTCCAGGTGGACCTTCATTTCCTTTGAACCCCATTAAACCTGGTGGACCCTGGTTTCCTTTGACTCCTTCTGATCCTGGAGCACCTCGTGGTCCTTGTTCCCCCTTTTCGCCTTGTTCTCCTTTAATTCCGACGTGTCCCAGTTCACCTCGATGTCCTTTCAGTCCTCGTTTACCCCTGTCTCCCTTTGGACCCTTTGGTCCAACTGGTCCAACTTTGCCCGAAGTGCCAACGGCTCCTGACATCCCCGGTGGACCATTTTCTCCAGCTAAACCTGGAAGCCCTCTTACACCTGGCAAACCAGGTGGTCCCGGAAAACCCTGTGATCCTGTAGAACCTGGAGGACCCTGTGCTCCAGGTGGACCAATGTCTCCTTTCTCCCCTGGAGAACCTGGACTTCCTTGTACTCCTGCTGGACCCTCAGAACCCTATATAATATCAGTTTTGCATCATTAATTAATAAATGGTTTTTATCTGATGGAAATTTGAAATGTTTATTGTTATTTATAAAAATTATATAATATTATACTTGTTTTCCAGGTGGACCAGGTAATCCTTCTTTCCCTGGAGGACCAATTTCTCCCGGTGACCCAGGATCTCCGAGTTTACCATCTTCACCGTCCTTCCCAGGCTCTCCCTTCATACCGACCAAACCAGGCTCTCCAGGAGGTCCGGGGAAACCAGGAGGCCCAGCATTACCTTTTGGTCCTTCTGGACCATTTATACCACGGCCACCGGGTGGACCTGGAGGACCACTTTTCCCTTCCTCTCCTTTTGCACCTGGAGGACCTCTTTCACCCTGCAATGCACGTTTCACTATATAATAATTCTCCATTCCTCTCAATTTTTAATTAAAGTAATTATTTTTACCGGTTTCCCTTCAAGGCCTGTAGAACCTGGAAGTCCTGTTGCTCCGGCTTCTCCTTTTACTCCTTGACGACCTTCTGGTCCTGGAGGACCTTGCAAACCTTCGGATCCCTTTGGACCTCTTGGTCCTTGCTCGCCTGGACTTCCCGCTGGTCCTACAGGACCAATTACGCCACTATCCCCGACTTCGCCTTTTAATCCTGGTGGACCAGGCAATCCCTGTGGTCCTACAGGACCAGGAGGACCTGATATTCCAACGGGGCCATCCTCGCCTTTTGATCCTTGTCTTCCGATTTCTCCAGGTGGTCCCTTTTCACCTGGTAAACCAATAGCACCTGGTTCACCTCGAAGTCCTTGTGTTCCAGGTGGTCCAGGTGGACCCTGTAGAAAATAAAAATAATAACGAATATGTAATATAGCCTATTTTTTCCTATCCATATAATTAAAATTGAATGATACTTCCTGTTTCTCCTTGAGATCCTTTGAATCCTTTTTCACCAGGTTGTCCAATATCTCCTTTATCGCCATCTTCTCCTGGAACTCCAACAGGACCGGGAGAACCTGGCAGACCACGTTGCCCTGGCAACCCATCTCGTCCAACAGGGCCTAATGGTCCAGGCTCACCCTAATAAATCAAAATATACATATAATAAATAATATTCGTTTCATATCTAATTACAGGTTGAAATAATTTATTTATTATTACCCTATCGCCTTTCAAACCAGCTGGTCCAGGCGGACCTTTTGGTCCTTGATTTCCTTGAGGTCCACTTTCACCGTCTTTTCCAGGTTCTCCTTGAGCCCCTTTATCACCTGACGGACCTTGAACTCCGGGTGGTCCTATTTCACCTTTTACACCTGGCATTCCCTATATTAGAAAAATATGCAGACCATAAACGGGTGTTTCAATAAATGTTAACAATAGATGAAGTCTAAATAGAAGCAAACCGGTAAACCACTTAGTCCTCGTTCGCCAGGAAATCCTGGTAAACCGCCGGGACCTGGTGGACCCTCTTTTCCTGGAAGACCAGATGGCCCTGGTGGCCCTTCTTTGCCTTGATCTCCAGGGGAGCCCGATTCACCAGGAGCTCCTGGACTTCCTGGGCTTCCAGGTTCTCCTGGTTGTCCAGGTTCACCAGCTGGACCTTGTGGACCAATAACACCTGGCGCGCCTGGAGGACCTGGTGGTCCAGAATCACCCACTGGCCCACGTTCTCCGGGAGGTCCAGGAATCCCATCTTTTCCATTAAGACCAGCTTGACCAGGAGATCCCACAAATCCACGGGGTCCTTCAACCCCTGGCGGACCGGGTTCTCCTTGTACTCCCGGAGGACCTGGTTGTCCAGTGTCACCCTTAGGTCCTGGTAATCCTTCGGCACCTCTTCTTCCACGAGCACCTCTAAATCCCTTTATAGTGAACATAATTACACAGATATAATCATTTACAAAATAATTTACATTAAAATAGTTTACCTAGAATTTACTTGATGTTAAATCTTGTACTAAGAGAATAATTTATATCAATATTACTTCATATTTTTCTTTACGTACCCTTGGTCCTGGTTCACCGCGTTCCCCTGGTGCGCCATTATTTCCCTAAAATAACAAAACAATACCTCTAATTATATTATATTAAATGCTTACTTTAAAATCTAAATCGATCTTTTCACCCTTTCTCCTTTATCTCCACTGTGACCTTCTCTCCCTGGCTGACCTTTATCGCCTTTCTCGCCGAGATTTCCTGGATATCCAACAAATCCTGGCGGTCCAGTTTTACCTTTCTCACCAGGCGAACCAACTAATCCACTTTCACCACGCGGTCCTTCAAAACCTTTTGGCCCTTCTAAACCTTCCAATCCAGGAATTCCTTGCGGACCTGGTAATCCAGGCTCTCCCTTTGATCCAAGATCACCTTTTTCTCCTTCTGAACCTCTGTCTCCCTTTTCGCCGCGTTCACCAGGTAATCCACGCTTGCCTTCGTCGCCTTTCACACCACGCACTCCCGGAAAACCTATTGGACCTTGTGGACCCTGCAGCCCTTGTTCGCCTTTCATTCCAGGAACTCCTGGATTTCCAGGATGACCAGGCGATCCATCTGCACCCGATAACCCTGGGATCCCTGGCTTTCCTTGTGGTCCCTAATAAAATTATAATATCTTAGTTTCGTATAATGCTTACTTAAACAAAGTATATTTGAAAAATAGCATATCTTCCAAAGATTTACCACTAAACCAGTTGGTCCCAAAAGACCTTGAGGTCCTGGTGGACCTACTGGCCCAATTGGACCCGGATTTCCTGGTGAACCTGAAGGTCCCGGTGGACCAGTATTACCCTTTGCTCCAGGTGGACCTTCGCTTCCAGGAATACCAGGATTTCCTGGTAATCCCGGGAAACCTCGTGGTCCTATAAATCCTCTAGGTCCCTAAAATAATTGAAAAAGTATGAACCTCTCGCTTTGCACGATAGCATTATCTTATGTTTTCGTTACCATTTCGCCAGGCAAACCGGGTAAGCCTGGAGGACCGTCGTCACCCTGCATGCCTTCATGACCTGGTAAACCCTGTTCACCAGTGGCACCCTGTAACCCTCTTTCGCCTTTATCTCCTGGTAATCCAGGCAATCCAGGTACACCTTGTTCTCCTTTCATGCCTGGTGGACCACTCAAACCTCGTTCTCCATCTCTTCCAGGCCGACCTCGTCTACCTTCCCTACCAGTGTTTCCCGGAATACCTGTACGAATTCATTGAATTTCCCAATTTCATTTTTACCTGAATCATCCTGTTAAACCAATCAAATATCCGACTAAAATATTAATGAAAGTTAATTTAACGATTCGTTAAATTCTACTATAGCCAATGAGAATTTTAAACAAGAGGAAATTCATAAATCTGACCTCTTTCACCACGAGGTCCTGGTTCACCAACTTCTCCAGGTTCTCCCTTTTGACCTTGAATTCCAGGAGGTCCTTCGGGTCCAGGAAACCCATAGGACCTTCGGCACCTCTCATAGACATCATATGCTGCGAGAGCATTTGCCTCAGAGCTTCTGCCTGAGTATCAGGTCCTTTCTCGTTTCCTTGTTGATTCAGTGCTGGTATTATGAACACATTTCCCGGCGGACCAGGCGAGCCTTGCAAACCTCCTAACCCATCTCTTCCAGGTTCTCCTTTTTTACCGGGTGGCCCAGGTGCGCCTGGAGGTCCCGGAAATCCCCGCGGCCCAGGTGGACCTCTGTTATTATAATAAGTAGGACTGTAATACGATCCTCCTGAAGACTCTAAATATCTCAAACCCCCTTGAACATCACCAGCTAAACTGTCAGTAGTTTCAGGCATCTCTGAAGTTGTCGTTTGATAGCGATCTATTATAGTTGAGCCGATAGTATTGAAAACCTGTAAACATATATTCTTTTCCACAATCTTCGTTATTTCAGTGCAATCGTCGATAAATGACATACGAAAACGATAGATTTTTAATCATAGCATTTTCCTCGATTCCATATTTTCTCTGATTTTATTCGTTATATTTTCTTCATCAAGGAGAAATATATTTTTTCGTTGATTATAATGATTAACTTACGGCACTGTGATTATAAAGAAACGTTTCCACGGTTGGTCTCGATGCATATGTTGTATTCACGGGTCTGTAAGATAAATTATAGTCATTGTTGTCTTCGACCGATACATCCTCGTTCCCTTCTTCACTTCCATCCTCATAATCCTCCTCTGTTTCTGTCACCAGATTTTCATCTTGTTCGTTATACGAAGAATTTAACCCAGATATCGTAGGTGTCCTACCATAACTTCGAGACGAATTTAGACTGTTATAATTCGTTTCATAATACGATCTACCAGTCGAAAGAGCTTCACCCGCATAGTTGGAACTTTGGACTATCTGGCCGACATCGATACCTGTTATACCCCCAGGATAAGTAGACGATGTTGTATGTACCACGGAACCATAATTTTGCGTATTCGAATGACCATTTTGTCCAAATCTATGTCTCGTATGATTCCTACAATCTGGTGCGAAAACTGTACAAATTTCGTAGGCTGCGTCCGGAATGGGAGCAATCTTCAGCATTTCCAAACCGCCCTAAAAATGTTCCGATGGACAGTATTAAACTAAATCTTAATTCAAATTTGACGAAAATGTAAACTTAAGGTTTTGGCATTCTATTTAGACATTTTATTAAATTCGAGTATCATTCACTGACCAAGTACACATTGCCATCGACGATCTGTTGACCGATGAGTATGATACCACTGACACTGATCGGCTCGTCAAGATTTCTACGCAATTCTTTGGAAATTTGCTGAGTACAATCGAGAATGAGCGTGGCGGTGTCGCCTTTAATGCTGATTCCTAATCGATGCCATTTGCCGTCAGAAATATCAATCCCAAATGAAATTGCTTTGTCTCCGTCATTTGGTGTTGTACTGTAGTAAAGAGTGACATCATTGCCCAATGATAGCACCAACTGTTCCTCACCACTATCGCTGTAGATGGCAAATAACGTGGCAACCGGGTATCCTAATGTTGAGATCATTAAATGAATGTTTTGCCTGAACAGGCGTTATTTCGGTATTTGTATAATTATAAATCGTAAAATCTAATTGAAAAGTGTATCATTTATAAATTTATGATCTATGATCTACGAAGTTCAATTTGAAAATATATGTATCGATTAGACTACCGACCGATCTTTGGTCTGGCAACGACTAAAATGGAAAAATCGCGAGGTATGCCAGTGGGGAACAGAGTATTCGTATTGATCGTCAATAGCGCGCTTTCAGCGATGTCATATGCGACCGTGTCATTTCTGTGGCAACGGTTTTCAGTTACTGTCACTCCAACGGGTTCCTGTTGCATTCCGGTACCATCCACCAAATCCACGATATTCTTTTCTGAAATTGTGAAACACCATCACGTGATCACGTTAAACAGTTACCTACATCTAAAAGATAATTAAAAATTTATTTTTCTAAATATTATTCTCCTTCTTCTATCTTTCTTTCTATAAATATTCCTGTAAGTATCGTACAATATTCTCCAATCCTTCGAGGAACGTGTGAAAAATAAGTATACTTTTTGATCTCATGCTTAAATTCTTAAAACGATGAGTTACTAACATGGAGAGCGCAAGTCCTTCGGGTCACCGATTTAGTTGAAAATTTATAGGTTTATAGATTTCGTTATACGGTTCAAAAATATATATTATTATAGCCGCAACTACTCGATAATTTTTTAGATATTTATGATTAAATATCTGTTATTACTGCTATAAGTATAGATTTATTTTCAGTAAGTTTTAAGTGGTGCCGTGACATAACGGCGTCAATCGAGGATTCGTATCGTGGAGGACCGGAGTTCGATTCCTCCTGTCTCATAGTTTCAAGTTCTTTTTCAATCTATTTTTTACTTTGTATTCATTTTTCGCCAATAAAAACATTGTAAATAAACAATCGTAAATAAAATTTCTTAATAAAAAAATTATTTTTTACGCCTTCTTATACTAGTATATATTTATTACAAAATAATAAGAATATTATGCGAGAAAAACACTTTTCTATAGCAATCTTATTTACTACAGAGAAAACGAAAACATAAGTAATCATTAGATACAAAAAATACAAAAAATATCGTTCATCTAAGTATTAATTATTAAATTAAATATTGTATAAGAATGTTGCCTATAATTCTAACTTTGCTGTGCAGCTATAAATGTTCATGAATTAATTACAGAAACTTGGAAATTTATTAATTTTCTATTGTCCAATTGGTTTATTAAGATGTATTACAAGCACATAACCAGAAAAGGTATTTAGTTCGAACCAAAATTTTACCGCCTGCGATCAGCGCCATCTATGATCTGGGCTCAAAAAGCAAGAAAGTGATAGGAATATAGAATAGGCGAGGAGGTCGACGAAGAGATGGTCACGTGGCAGACAAGGACAGAGAGGGGGTAGAAAAGGATAGAATAGCTCCGGCAATGAAAAATTATTAATTACTCCATTTTCGTAATTAATTTATGAACTTTTATAATTTCATTACAAAGCTGGAACTTCAGGCTACATTCTTATATAATTTTCGTAAAGAATTTAACTCTAAATTGTTAGTTATTAATTTTTGGTTGATGGCGTCTATTATTTCGTAACGGCGACCATCACGATCTTCCGTGAAAATATTTAATACTAAACGAAACTAGAATCAAAATGTGATCAAAAGATATATGAGAAGATTCGCAAGAACATTATTTTTATAATGAGCGCATAAAGTTTCATAAATTAATTCCGTAAAGGATAGTAATTAATGAAAAACCAATGGCGTCTACGACCAATCGACCAATAATTCAAACACTCGGCAGAATAATAATTAATAATTAATTAATTAGAGACAAATTTCTATTGAAAAATATATTGGAAAGTTCTTAAAGGATCTACCTTTACGTTGCAATTATAAAAGTTCATAAATTAATCACAGATATTGCGTAATTAGTGAATTTTCCACTGCCGATTTGATTTATTAAAATATATACGGAGCACATAACCAGAGTTAGTAAACTGACATCAGAGTCATCTATGTTCTCGTTGCGGAACTCGAGCTTCGAGTCTAACATCGTAGATGGCTCTGATATCAGTTTACTAACTCTGGTTATGTGCTCCGCATAAATTTTAATAAATCAAATCGACAGTGGAAAATTCACTAATTACTCGATAACTATGATTAATTTATGAACTTTTATAATTGCATCGTAAAGCCAGATCCTTCAAGAACTTTCCAATATATTTTTCGATAGAAATTTGTCCCTAATTAATTAATTATTAATTATTATTCTACGAAGTGTTTGAATTGTTGTCGAAGACGCCATTGGTCCTTCATTAATTACTATCTTCTGCGTAATCAATTTATCACCTTCATGCACGCATTATATAAACGAAATCCTGGGGCGTCTTCACATATTACTTTTGTTCACATTTTGATTCTAGTTTCGTTTAGTATTAAATATTTTCACGAAAGATCGTGATGGTCGCCGTTACGAAATAATAGACGCCATCAACCAAAAATTAATAACTAACAATTTAGGGTTAAATTCTTTACGAAAATTATATAAGAATGTAGCCTGAAGTTCCAGCTTTGTAATGAAATTATAAAAGTTCATAAATTAATTACGAAAATGGAGTAATTAATAATTTTTCATTGCCGGAGCTATTCTATCCTTTTCTACCCCCTCTCTGTCCTTGTCTGCCACGTGACCATCTCTTCGACGACCTCCTCCCCTATTCTATATTCCTATCACTTTCTTGATTTTTGAGCCCAAATAATAGATGGCGCTGATCACAGGCGGTAAAGTAGTTATTTATTCGAAAGTAGAAAATTAATAAATTTCCAAGTTTCTGTAATTAATTCATGAACATTTATAGCTACACAGCAAAGATGGAATTATAGGCAACATTCTTATACAATGTTTAATTTAATAATTAGTTAGTAGTAAATAAGGTTGCTATAGAAAAGTGTTTTTCTTGCATAATACTCTTATTATTTTGTAATAAATATATACTAGCATAAGTGTAAAAAATAAATTTTTTATTCAGAAATTTTATTTACAATTGTTTATTTACAATGTTTCCAAAGGCGAAAAATGAATACAAAATAAAAAATAGATTTTAAAAAAAGTACTAATTAGGAAGGAGAATCGAACTTCGATCCTGTAGCTTAGGAATTTTCTACTATCCGCGTTAGGCCACGACTCCACTTAAAATTAGTTCAAATAATTGTATAATTATGGTAGTAATCAAACTTTAATAGTAAATATCTTAAAAATTATTGAATAGTTGCGACTATAATGATACATATTCTTGATCTGCATAACAAAATCTATAATCTATTAAACTAAATATAAATCTATTCAACTAAATCGGTGACCCGAAGGACTTTCTTGTACTCTCCTTGTAAAGCAGAAGCTTATGAATGTATAAAGAAAAAGAAATGTAATTAAATAAGCATAATGGTGCGATGACGACCACAATGAACAACCCAATAACCCCTGGAAACCCAATAACCCCTGAACTCGAAAGACGTAACTCATCGTGCTACGGCGAACGTTTAAACCAGTTTCATTAAGAAGTCCTCTTTTCCAGAGTAGAACACGCAGTTTTGCATGCTACGAGTAGTGGCTCAATTAATATAATAGGGATCACTTAAAAAGACATCCAGTAGTAAACGGAGTTGCTATTACATGGTCTATAGAATGATTTCAATGCGTGAATTTATGCATATCACATACATGAAACAAATTTAACCCATATGAATTGAATCTGATATCTCAAAAAATGATTTCTACAAATAAATATCAATATCTGTCTAAGTTTCCTTGATACAGCAGCAATTACACGTTATAAAAGAGCGTAGCAATTACAAAATTTACCCCTACGTAAAACATTCATTTTATCCTACATTTTAACGCTATAAACTCACGTAATCGCGTTAAAACTTGAAGCAGTTAGTATGAGTTAGTAAGTCGAGTTAGTAAGATTGTTAAAATAAAAGATAATAATAGCAAATTTACCCATATCTTGCAAAATAATGTCTGTTAGCACCGGGTAGAACCCTAGTGCTACGAAAAGATAAAGTGTCCAAGAAACGGAGTGGATGTTGCGAGGCAGTCGCAGTGTTCTCCATTGCTGTTTCACGTGGTCCCACCGCATGCTACTCTTTCTTCGTCAAATCATGATTTTCACAGGGAAGTTTTGCTGATACAGATCACCGTAAAAAGGACACGCACTATCGGCACAACCACGACAGGACCGATAGATCGGATGCGAAGTCGAGAAGGGCCGAGAAATTTATCTGAATGTAATCGTCGTCACAATGCAGTCACCCTCCCCACGCGTTTCCTCTTCTTCTACTTCGATCCCTCCTTTCTAATACTGTGTCTCCCCGCCTTTCTTTCTCCTAAACGCCGATGCAATGATGCACATGCATTCCACACATGTGTCTTTTAATGACAATCCCGCGTATCTTCTATTGACACTGATTCGGATAACACGTGGCGCCTCGGAAATATGGTAGGGATCTTTTCGTCATCGTGACAAATACATGTCTTTTTATGCGAATGGAAAGGAAATTTTATCGCTCATAAAAGTAAACCGAATCGTTGCCAGGCAATTTCTCGTATCAGTTACTTTCGGATGTTGCATCGTTGTATCATATGTACCATTAGTTAGTTTGAAAGTAAAAAATAGAAAAATAATATAAAAGATCGAAGAAGTATTTGAATAAAGAAGTATGTCGATAAATTCGGGCTTATTATTTTTAATTGTTCCGCGAGCGAATGTGGTCATCGTTTAACTATGAAAGTTTCAATTAATTACTTCCTCGATACTTTTGATTAATTACTTCCCGACTTAAGTTAGTTTGCAAGAGTTCTCTATTCTCTGCGAATATAAATCATTATTTATCGCATCGAAATATATTAAACGAAACAAATTTGAACGAATAAAACAGATATTTCTCTCTGTATCATTGATAGATTGTTTCATTCGTTTCCGATCTAATAAGAAATAATCACTAATCGTCTTAATCATTGGCTAAATCTGCTGTGCTATTTAATATAAACTCTGATCTTTTCGTGGTTCATTAATTATACATACTTCAATAAGTAATATTTCGTTACATTAAATCGTTGAAATTATTCATGTAACAATTAATATCATACATAAAATTATACGTCTTTTATATTTTACGATGGTTTAGTTAGTTATGTCCCAAATATTTACTTCATTTGATTAACAAATTAATAACAATATGCAATATTTCATAAAAAATTGAAATGATATTTTGTTAAAAAAATTAATGATTTATAAAATTATATATGCTTATTTTATGTTTCCTATATATTTTATTATTTTCTACGAAAAGTATGAATATATTTATTACATAGTTTAAATATCAGTACTGAAAATTTATCACCGCATTCAAAGGTTTAAGCATTCGCTCGAGTATTTTAATATAATAACGTTTTAAAGGCTAGTACCTGGTGTCAATTGCCATGTGTTTTCACTATACATTGATTATAAACATAACCTTGTAAATAAATTGTATACATCGCGTTTCAGATAATATTAACATACAATGTCAAAGAAAGCGAAAGTAAAAGATTACAATAGAAAGAAAAAGCAAATATCAGATACAAAAATAATTACAGACCTACAATCGAAATATGATACTGTAAGTTCTAATTTCCATTCCTAAATTTGTAAAGATCTTTTTATAAAGGTTATATGTTTACAGATCGATGAAACGAAAGCAAAAAAGTTTGCAGATTTTCCGCTTTCGCCAAAGACATTAAAAGGTTTGGCAGAAAATAATTATTTTGAAATGACAGATATTCAAAGACAAAGTATAGGACTAGCATTGCGGGGAAATGATATCTTAGGAGCAGCAAAAACTGGGAGTGGAAAAACCTTGGCATTTCTTATTCCAGTATACAATTTAATCTAATTTGTGTAATATTTTAATAAAATAATCTATAACAAATTTGTAAATTTTCAATTGTTTAAGGTTTTAGAGATATTATATTGTAAACAGTGGACAAGATTAGATGGACTCGGTGCACTTGTAATTACACCAACCAGAGAACTTGCTTATCAAATATATGAAACATTAAGAAAAATTGGACAACATCATGATATTTCTGCTGGTCTTATTATTGGTGGAAAAGATTTAAAATTTGAAAGAAGACGTATGGATCAATGCAATATTATTATATGTACACCTGGTCGTTTGTTGCAACATATGGATGAAAATCCATTATTTAACTGTATAAATATGCAGGTAAATAAATATAGGAATATAAATAAATTACTATTGTATGATATATATAAATAAATGTTATATGAAGACCATACGAAGAAAATAGAGTAAAGCATATTTTTTTCTCTTCTAGAGGACAAAATTTTTAAATTTAAAAATTCAGTACATTTTGAATTAATTTTGTGTTTTTAAAATAATGTTTTCGCTTGTTTTTAGGGATAAACATACTTTGTTCACTTTTAAAATTTTTTAAAAACTTATCATCTGTTTTTAAAAACATATCTTTCAATTTAAAAGATGGTACGCCTTTCCTTATTGTTGTTTCCTTATTGTTAAAGTCCTATTGAGTAATATGAAAATCAGGAAATTAACAAAAATGGGCTTCTATCTTTTTTGTGCGGTCTTTATCAGAGGAGTAACAATGAATTTATTTGTGTATTTTGGAAATTATAGGTATTAGTATTAGATGAAGCTGATAGATGTTTAGATATGGGTTTTGAACACACTATGAATTCTATTATTGAAAATCTACCTTCAAAACGACAAACTCTTTTATTCTCTGCAACACAAACAAAGTATGTATATTTAAAAATAAGTGAAATATAATCTTTTATTATTCTGATTAGATTATATCCATGTAACATTTGAACAGATCTGTAAGAGATTTAGGTAGACTAAGTTTGAAAGATCCAATGTACGTGTCGGTTCATGAACATGCTACATATACCACACCTGAAGCACTTCAACAAAGTTATGTTGTTTGTACTTTAGAAGATAAAATATCAATGTTATGGTCATTTATACGGAATCATTTAAAACAAAAGATTATTATATTCTTTACCAGTTGTAAACAGGTATCATTTAGTATAATAATATTTAATATAATTGTTTTTGTTTGAAAACCAAAAATAATTATGATATTCATTATGTTTTAGGTAAAATATATGTATGAAGCATTTTGTCGATTAAGACCTGGTATAAGTTTATTAGCACTTTATGGAACTTTACATCAACTTCGAAGAATGGAAATTTATGAAACTTTTTGTAAAAAACAATTTGCAGTTTTATTTGCAACTGATATTGCTGCTCGTGGATTAGGTACACTAGAAAAATATTTGTTTGTGTGAATAGTACAAAAATTTCGTAGCTTCATTCAATGATTATAGTTCTAATAAATTTTAGATTTTCCTGCTGTGAATTGGGTTGTACAGATGGACTGTCCTGAAGATGTAAATGCATATATACATCGTGCTGGTAGAACAGCTAGATTTCAAAGAGATGGAGAATGCTTATTAGTTCTATTACCCTCTGAAGAAAAAATGGTTGAGAAACTTAAAGAACGCAAAATTCCAATATCAATGATACAGTGAGTTAAAATTATTTTTTAAATAAATTATTAAATAAGTTGTATTCATAATATTTTATATATGTATTTAAATATATAAGTAATATTCATTTAGAATTAATCCAACGAAATTACAATCTCCACAACGTAAATTGGAAGCACTGTTGGCAAGAGATGTTTCATTAAAAGAAAGTGCTCAAAGAGCATTTGTAACATATATAAAATCAGTCTTCTTAATGAAAGATAAAGAAATTTTCAATGTTCATGCATTAAATACTGATTCATTTGCAAGGTAAAGTTCTACAAATTTATGTAATAATTAAATTGGTATATATGTAATCATTGTTTCATTACGTTGCGATTGACTTATATATTTAGATCTTTAGGTTTAGCTATACCTCCAAGAATTCGATTCCTTCAAAGGATGGAACAAAAACGACAACAATCTAATAAATTTATCGAAGAAACAACACAATTAACTGTCGATAGTGACTTAAATCACGATAGAAATGAACAAATAAATATTAATGACAGTAATTACAATGACTATAAAGACAACGAAGAACGAGGAATTACATCTCAAACAATGAACCCAAATGATTTTACACTTGGTACAGAAATGAATGTCAAATTTTATTAAGATATATACTTTTTTTTATGAAATCATATCTATTTGATACAGTAATCACTTTCTTTTCCTGCATAGATGATAGTGATGATGATGTATTGACTGTAAAACGAAAAAATATAGACCTTGATGATATACCAATTACTGTCAATGAAAAAGAAAACGAAGGTTTAAACAAAAAGAAAGCAGTTACAAAAGCTTCAGTAGCTAAGAAAATTCTTCGTAAAAAAATAGTACCGAATAAAAAGATTAATTTTGATGATGAAGGACAGGTTTGATTGATGTTTTATATTTACTAGAATTTTAATATATACATATATAATTCCAACATATTATTATTTTTTATAGGAATTAGTAAATCCCACTAAAGTTAAAATCTCAGAATTAGCTAAACAATATGAAAATGAAGAGGATTCTGGAATAAACATAGAAATAGCTAAACAGGTATTGCGTGAAGAAGATAAGTTCGATAAACAACGCTTCAAAGAAAAAATAAAAGAAAAACATAAAGAAGAGAAACGAAAATTAAAAGCTCACAAAAGAAAAGTAGATGATGAAGATAATCAAGATAAAATTGAAGATACTGAAGACAACTCTGCTAGCGATGATGAATATAATGGTCCAGATCTGTCTTGGCTACCTGATCCAGATGAAATTTATGGCAAGCACGAAGAAAGCTCTAAAGGAATTTTAGATACTGTGGATACACAGGAAAGTGAAGAGGAAAACAAAATACATAGGTGTGCATTTTAATATTGGACATTATATCTACAAAAATATATTTATTTCATTTTTAGCATTATACTCATCTTTGATAATTATATTTTTATTACAGGCCATCTAAAAGGAAACTAATAATACAAGATGAATGTAAAAAGAAAAAGAAAAAACAAAGAGCATCTCTTGAAATAGATAATGTAAATTTAAAAGCAGATGAGGAACTAGCATTACAACTTTTACAAAATTAGATTATTATACATAGATCAAAATTTTAATAATATTTTATATTCTATGATACAATGTTCTGAATAATATTAAATATCTGCTATCTAAATATCTTGTTAATGAGATAAAATAAATAAAGTCCACTAATATATTTTACTATAAATTATTTCTTCAATGATTTTACCATTAAGATAGAATTGTTAAGTACATGTATAAATATTATATAATTGCAAGAAAATATTTTTGATGAGATGCAAATAAAAAGATTTACATCTCAAAAACGTCCTTGTAAGAGTAATTACAATATTTAATTTCTATTGATACTAGCTCTTATAATATGTATTTTACAAAATTTAAACTTTAATAATTCCATATATGATGCCATTATATTACATAAAATATTACTATATTACAAGTATCAAATTTGTCACTTTACTTAAAAATTGCTTTGTATAATTTTGTGCGATTTACACAATTGTAGAGAATTTCTTTTAAACAGAAAATATGGTTATTGCTATCAATGATATTCTAACATTATTCCAAGCAATGGAATATTCTTACTAAAAAGCAAAGTTGAATATATACGTACACTTCTACATTATTATGTTAGTTTTTAATATGATACATTTCATCAGTCTTAATTAGATGCTATTTTAATATGTTTCATTATAGAATCCACAACTTCCCTACTTGTAGCTTGCCCACCAAGATCACGAGTATGGATACCTTGGTTAATAGTTTTATTAATGGCATTCTGAATTAAAATAGCATGATGCTTATGTCCAAGATGACGCAACATATCAACGGCAGCATTTAACATTGCAATAGGATTGGCAATATTTTTTCCAGCAATACCTGTGCCAGTATTTCGAGTACCTGGTTCAAATATTGTATAATGATCACCATAATTTTTACCTGCTAATAATCCAGCCCCACCTAACAAACCACATACTACATTTGATACAATTGCTCCATACAAATTGGTTGTTAATACAATATCAAATTGATGTGGATTGGAAACCAATTGCATACAAGTATTATCAATAATCATATCATTATGAGTAATATCTGGGTAATCTTTTGCAACTTTTCTTGATATTTCTAAAAACAATCCATCAGATAGCTTCATTATATTTGCTTTATGAACTGTGGTAACTTTTTTTCTTCCATTTCGCTTAGCATATTCAAATGCATATCTTGCTACACGTTCAGAATTAGTGCTTGTAATAACCTTCATACTTTCTACCACACCCTTTACACTTTCATGCTCTAACATAGCATATTCTCCCTCTGTATTTTGTCTAACAATAACAATGTCAATATTCTTATGTCGCGAATTTACCCCTGGATATGACACACAATGTAGGACATTTACATAAAGATCTAATTCATTTCGAAGAGCAACATTTCGAGAAAGTACACCAGCTTCTGTACTACGAGTTTCAATATTTCCTTTCAATGCTACACCATTTCTACGAATGGAAGTAATAGCAAAATCTAAATCCACATTATCATTTGCATTTGGATCAATGTCTACATCTTCAAAATCTACTGGTACACCTGCATAACTAAAAACCTATAAGAAATACATAAATAAATTACATAAGAACTTTTTCATTAGCATATTATTTAAAAATATAATAGAACATTCACTATAATAATCTAAAAAAACAAGTGAGCAATGACATACTCAAAGGTCATTTTCTTTATTAAAAGTATATAAATAATGTTTATATACCTCTTTTACATAGGTCATTAATTCTGGACCAATTCCAGCACCAGGCAGAAGAGTAACTGTATGTCGTCCCCCGTAATGAGCTTTCGGTATTGGCATTACTTTTTTAATAGTTGGAGTTTTATGCTGTATTTCAAAAGCAGAAATTGAAGCACATCTATGGATTTGGGGTACAACAGTTTTTGGACGTAAATATTTAACAATGGATCGGGCAGCCATTTTGAAGAATATTCTGTAAAATAATTACAGAAAATAATTCAATTTTAATATCAATTATTTAATATGAATAAAATAAATAGTTTTACCACATACTGTGACTTTATTCTATTTTAACAATACCTTGAAAGTCCTTGCCAACCCAAATTTTCAGCGCCGTTTAAACTATAACTTTTATAGAATAGAAAACTAATATTAAAATTTTAAATACTGCCATCTGCCAGAATTACTACAATACATATTTTTTTAATATTAGCAATCAAATATTCTTCAATATTGTTCTTTACATATATAAAATTAATAAGAGTATATAAAAGTATCAATTAATTGCTTGGTTAAATTATGTTTTAAAAACGATAATTTTTAGAAATAATTATATTATATTAGAAACCAAAGCATCTTTTCAATCATAAATAAAAAAATTTCATATTTTATCTTAGCAAAACACTTAAATAATACAATAAAAATTATTCCGCAACTAATACTTTTAAGAAAAAAATTTAACGTATAAATGCTTTGAATTGATTGGTTCTAACATACAAAAAGAAACCGTTATTTATAATAAAAATATGTTATATTTTCATGTTATTTTTGTATTGATAACAAATTTCTTTATTTTTCTAATTACGTAATACCTATAGGGTAATGTTAATAATCTTGACTATGTCGTAAAAATTAAATTTTTACTTCTAAAGAATAATAAATTTGTAAAATCTATTATAGATTATCCGTTGGTCACCCTGTTATTTTTCGCGGCAACGCGTAACAAGACGCTAAAACGCCAGAAAGCCCGCCGCATCATACGTAGCTGCGTCTTTGTGTAACTTGTAGTTACCTTTTAAGTAAGTACCATAATCAAAAATTATAATCAAATAGTTATGTATATAATCGTAATTAAAATTGATATGAATTCATACCATTTATTATCAAATCTTTATATAAATTGATAAGTAAACTCTTGGGCTGCTTCCCGGCTGTCGTACCGCCATTTTGCACTGTGTTCATTTCTCTTAGCATCTTTGAAGCTTTTTCCTTACAAAATTATTTACTATATTAATATATTATATTGTAATAATTTTTCTAAAGTTCCTCTTTTTATGAAATCAATATTTTAAATCTAATTAACTATTTTGATTGAAACTATATTTTCACATTTCAACTTCTCTTTTTTTGTTATTTAGTTTATAATTTTTACTTTGTTGTTCTTTGTCATGTGATTATATGTATTTACAATATTAAAGAAGAATGAGCAAAGGAAAGGAATCATCACCAGCAGAAACTGCAGGAGGTGAAGAATTTAGTGTTGAAAAAGTTTTGGATAGAAGAGTAGTTAAAGGAAAAGTATGTAATTTAAAATATATATGCAGTTTTTTACTTATACTTATATTCATTAAAATAGTTGTTTACTAATTTTGTACATTAATGTAGGTTGAATATTTTCTAAAATGGAAAGGATATTCTAATGAAGAAAATACGTGGGAGCCAGAAGAAAATCTTGATTGTCCAGATCTAATTGCACAATTTGAAGAGCAACGCAAGAAAAAAGAAGCAGCTGTAGCTGGTAAACGACACGAAGATAAAGAACAAAAGAAACGAAAAAGTTCAGGTGGACCGTTACCTACAAGTACTAAGAAAAAAATGACAGAAGAAAAGAAACCCGAAGGTCTTTAACATTTTGACACCACATAATTTATTTAAAGAATATATAACATAATCTTTACTTTTGCATTTTAATTATGTTTAGGTTTTGACAGAAATTTGGAACCTGAACGAATTATTGGGGCAACAGATTCAAGTGGAGAATTAATGTTTTTAATGAAGTGGAAAGGGACAGATGATGCTGATCTAGTTCCTGCTCGAATAGCAAATGAAAAATGTCCACAAATTGTAATAAAATTTTATGAAGAACGATTGACATGGCATAGCCCTGCTCATGATGAAGAAAGTTCAACAAAAGCTGATGCAGAGTAGCGTCCAGCCTTCCGATTCATGTACGCAGCACGCTTCATATCCGTGAAAATGTTTTAACAATTTTTTAATGTGTAAAAGCCTTTTTAATAATAAAAATACTTTTACATAAGATAGCAATGGTATTATAGTGGAAGTATTTCTGTCAAAACAAAACAAAAAAAACAATCCGTTTCTGTTTTTGAGATTAATTTTTTTACGTAATTGGTAAAACTACAAATCGTTAATTGTCTAATAATGACTTAAATTGTTTTTCGCAACCTTCAGTACACCAATAATATAATAATTTTATATATTGTAGATTAACGTTTTCTTGTCAAGTAATTATGCAAATGAAATAAAAATGATGTTTTAGTATATAAGTATATATGTAGTTTATTGATTTGTATGAAGTATCAAATTAAAGGATTCATTTTTTGTAATTTATAAATGTTTAATTTTTCTAAGATACATATTCAAGAATATAAGTTACAAAATTATTTTTATTTTTCAATTAATATTTCATTCTTTTTGCATTTTTTTTTAAACTTTTAGCTCCTTTTCGTTTATTTCTATTGGTAGAATTATTTAATTTCTGATGTCGTTTTATTTCCCATTCTATTTGTTTGTGACTTGCACCATCAGTATTAAATGTATCTGTCCCACCGGATTTACCTGGTTGTTTGCTATGCTCTTCTAATATTTCTGCAAATTTCTCCGCGGATAGAAATAAGTTAGTATCAATTTCTTTTGAATTTTTATTCTTTTTATTTTGTTTTTTATCTTGTTTTTTTATCCATTTGTTTATATTTGATTCAGTTTTCTTACTCAAAATATTTTCAGTATCATCATCATCATCATCTATGTTTAAATCAATGTCACTCAAGTTTTGTAATTCAGCATCTGTGTCACTATCTTCATCCAAATTTTTGGTATAATCTAAATCGTACATATCATTAGAATCACTTGCTTCACTTTCAATGCTAGTAGCATCATCAAAATCGTTGTTTTCTTCCTTAATATCTATATAGTAAATTTTTTATATATTAACATGACATATTTAAAAATAAATTTTAAATTGAAAAATAAAATGTATATTCGTATACCTTTTTTCTTTCTGCTAGTTTGTATGTCAGCAGCGATATCTAAATCTTCAAAATCTTTACCATCAGTTAATCTGTTTAACATATCATCAAATTCTTCACTATTAACACTTTCTACATCATCATCTACTTTAAATTCATGTTTAGATTTTTTTCTTTTTTTTAAATATCGGTATAAATATAATTCATCAACTGGGATACGTTCTTCTTTTTCATTAATGTATGATACACTGTCAACTGGAATACATCTAATACCTTTTGGTGTATATCCTGCACGTTGTGCTAAAGGATCATTTTTTTTCTGCACTTTCTTATTTTCTAACTTTTTTGGATTTTTGAAAACATAACGATCCAAAAAACGCATTAAAGATAAATCTGCTAGTGGATCACCTGTATAATCAATTGATTTTCCTAAAAGTACAAATAATATATATTACTTTTTTAGTATCAAATGTAATATTATAGTGGATTTATGTACAATTAATATCTAATACACAAATATAACAGTTTAATAACAACATTATGTGTATTTAATACAATACCTTCAAGAATAGTATTTGCAAATAATGCAACACTTGGATGATAATGTTTAGATAATGCTATTAGCTCTGTATTTAAACCTTTAGTTATTCCAGCGTAAGCAGGATTACGACAAAAGGGATCATATTCCTTTTGTGTATTGATATTAATGTTCATGTTCTTTTCTGCTTTGATTTTAGATTCATTGTTTACATTGTCTTCAGATATAACATTTGTTAATACAATAGAATCTCCTAATTTAGATTCATCATTAGATAGATAAGAAATTTCTGGATTTGAAGAACTATCTTTAAATTTTAAATCTTCATTTTCTACTTTAATATAGTCTACTGGTTTTAATAATAAAGTTTTTAATTCCTTATGAGTATGTAAAATTTTGGATATTACATACAAAGTAGCACAAGCCATGTTTGCTGGGAAATATAATGCAACTTGTAAACTTCTTTTAATAAAAGAATATAAACGTTGTTTATTATGATCATTTTGAAGAACTCGGTACAATAAATTAAGAAATAATGCACGTTTATTTGCCACTCCAATTTGTGGGTCTAATAATTTCCGATAAAAAGCAGAATAAAATCTATTTGATTGAACATCATTTTCACCTGTAATCTATATAAATGAAGAAAAAAAGGATAAAGTCAAATACTGTATAATAAACATATTATAATTGACATAATTACCTGATACAATAAATTGAGTGCATTGAAAGAAACATTCAAAGATCCGATATGTACAACTTTATATACAGAATCTATATGATCATTCAATATATTTGAATCCAATTTTGCAAATGGATATGCTCTGTTTACACCAGTTAAGATTGCTGCCATCATTCTGCAATCTGGTTCTCCTCTTTTTAAACAAGCTTTAAAGAAAGCAAAGTAAACTTCAATAAGTGTAGAAGCAATTTTCTCATCATTGTTATTTAAAAGAAGTTGTGTTAACAAACAAATTGCATAATATTGTGCACGTTGTGCTACATTTTTCCTAAATAATAATTTTTCAACTTCTCGTAACACAACAAGTTTCATATTGGGATGTTCATGTAATAATTTATTTAAACAAAATATAACTTTTGATCCTATTTTACTACTTGGATCTCCTATTTTGTTTACAAGGAATTCTAACAATTTATGTTCTTGTTCAGCATTTCCTATTAATAAATCTGTCATTACTGATATTGCAACTTCACGATTTGCATCTACCGTATCAGATGCAATGGTAGCTAAAGACATTACAAAACGTTCATATAGTTCACATAATTGGTCTTCAAAATACCAATGAGCCATTAATTTTTTTCTAGATATGTTTGATTTAATAAGAGTGTCTTCAGAGATAAATTTATTAACTTCGTTTAAATTTTGTTCTTCAAATTTAAGCAATTTAAATTTAGGATGTAGGAGATCTAATAAAAACAAATCCTTTAATGATTTTATTATCATATTGCATTGATTATGTTTTACCACACGTACTTGATTTATGAGCATTGTAAGTCTAGCTAAATTATATTTTGGATTATCTTGCACTAACACAATGGCAGCTGCTACTTTGTCAGAGGTTGTACCCTGTGTTAATGCTGTTCTTAACCATACTGTTTCTGAATCAGTATATTTTGATTCTTTTAATTGAAAAACAGATGTTTCTGCATCCAAGTATTTTTTTGCTTCATCTTTTAAACTCGATATTTCTGCTTCAGATATAGAATGTTTATATGGCTCCTCTCCTTTAGAATATTCTTCATACCATTTATTGCTCTTTTTATTCATCTCTGTGAATCCCTTTTTCATTTTATTAGAAATTCTAATATTTAAAAAAAAATATATTCAGAAATATAAAAACAGCATATATTTTCTAAGAAAATATTTTTATTTCATGGTTAACCTTAATCACATTAGTAAATTTACTGTGGTTTAAATTTTGATAATATATAATGGTGACAAATATTTATTAGGAATAAGAATATTTGATAATATACACTTTCTTAATCACAGTAATAAGACAGTAAGAATGAGTCTTTGAATAAATACATGTGCATATAAGATAAATGCCATTGTCCACATTAAACACACGTGACCACCGAAAGTATCATGTGACATGCTACACGATGCGCAAGAAATATAAAAGATCTCATACTCGTATCTCTTGCGCAACGCACAATGCTTCACGTACAACACTGCGTAACACTACAAACCTTTTGTATCACGTACAACTATTTAATACTATTTATTGTTGATATACGCTTTTCTACCATTTTTCTACTATTGATGTACATAATATAATCAAAATATAAAAATTTGTATTAAAATTAAAATTTACAGCGAAATGCATAAGAAATTTATTTATTAACATAACATTAATAGCTTATGAAAAAGATTTATTTATATATTTTAAAGCTGTACAAACTTTTTGATACATATTTTTATAAATGTATTCAATTTTATTTTATGTATCAAACAGTTTGCATACTTTTTCTTCTTTTCACTTTATTGTCATCTGATATACTTTTAATTGTTCTTTTTTGTGAAGAAATAGAACTAGTCTGTTCAGTTTGAAAATTCCCATTTTGTAATGATACATCTTCGTCTGGTTGATCATGTAGAACAAGAGAGCTAAACTTACAAGGTTCGAAACCTTCTAACAGTGTTTTTTCACGCAACATCCGTGCTTCCTTTTTTAATAGTTGTTTATTTTTCTGTTTACTTTTATTTTTCTTTCTTTTTTTTAATTCGTTTTTCTTTAATGGAGTAATATCTGTATCGTTTTGTGTATTTCCATTTTCTTGTGTGTTATTTAATTGCTTTACATTATTTGCAATCTCTTTTATTTCTCCATTTACAGAAGTATTCTCTTTATTTGTAGCTTTTTTCACTGATCTAAAATAAAAATAAGAAAGAAGAATATAAATAATTTCATACCACAATATAATAAAATTTTAACGCTATATTACTCAGTTAACACTTACATGTTAAGTGGAATTCCAATTTGTGCTGCTAATCTATTATATGCTGCTTTTGTATCTTTTGCAAATGAAACATGAGCTCTGTACGTTTTAAGTACATTTCCAATATTATTCCAATTCCATGCTTGTGGCAAATGATGAGTGTAAATACTTCGTAATAATGAAAAAAGAAGGCAAATATACCTTTGTTTAACCTCTTTTCCTATTTTATTATTATCAGTTGCAACAATTTGTCTATTTTCAACTTTATACATATCAGACAATCCTTGAAACGTGCTTATAGTATTTTTGTATAACTTTTTTTCCATTTTTATTCTTACATCAGAATGTTTCTTATCTGAATGAACTAATCGACTATTATTATAAAAAATTGTTAAAAATTCAAGTGCATATCCACGACGAAAAGACCTTACAGTACTATCAAAAGCAAAGTCCACCTATAAGAATAAATGTATATTATTTGGAATCCTTTGCATCTTTACTAATATAAAAAATACAAATTTACCAATAAAGGAGTTAGATGCCAGTTACCGTCCCATTGTAATTGTAAGATGCTTTTAAATAATAAAGGCGATAATACACAGTCTCTTCTTTTAAAAAATGCTGTTAAATTTTCTACATAAATTTTAATTATTGCATCTGTTGATACATTAGCCTGCTGTACACACCTCACAAGGAATGTACAACATTCTGCTAATTTATCGCTCATTTCATGATAAACAGACGTGGTTCTTTCTCCTTTCTCAATTAAAGCCTTAAAAATATACATTTTAATTATGTAATAGACGTAGAATTATTATTTAGTTACATTACAATTACCTTTAATATTACTGTTAATAATTCTTCATCAACATTTTCTGTATCTTTGAATTTTTTTATCATTGATAATATTTTTAAACAAGATCGAACTCGATCTTGTAAAGGTTTCTGATGAGGATCTTTTATACAATATTCCAACAATGTAAAAAGAGGAAGTAACATATCAAGTACAATTGCCATTGATGGAGTATATTCTAAATAAGTTTCTAATAAATCTATAACTCGAATTCTAAAATGAGTTAATGTTTGGGCTGATTTTTCTTGTTTTTTAGATCGCGATTGACGATTTTCTCGTAGAATTCTAAATGCTGCTGCTAATGATTCATCTAATCGTTTTCCTTCTTCTTCATCAATGTTATCTACATTTATATCTTCATCATCAGTTTGAACAGAAGCATCACCTAATGCTTGTCTTACAGCCATTCGTAATCTATCAGTTACTGTTTCATCTTCATCTTCATCTTCATCTTCATCTTCATTCATTGATTCTTCATTTGAATCAGAGTCATTATCTGTTGAAGTTTCCACTTCATTATTAATATTCTCTTCATTAATTTTATCGTCATTATCACTATCCGAATTTGATTCTGTTTCTGATGAATTTTCTTCTTCTTCGTTATTAAAACCATTTTTTGTTATGAGTGGTCCTTTATCATCTCTTACATCTAGCACCTAGAAATAAAAATTTCAAAATATAATAATCATTAATTTTCGAAGTATGTTAATAACGTTTACATACTGCTAATATTTGATGTATAGCTGTTGGTGTAACATAAGAACAAATATGTGGAAAAACACATCCTACTAATGATCGTAATAAATGACTGTTTTTAGAATAGAAGGACAATAACAAATCAACAACTACTTCTACCCATTCTGGTTCATCATCTTGTGTTTTATTACTATTAATTTTATGTTTTTTAGATTTTTTTAGTAGTCTTTCATAACAACTTTGTAATTCATCTATGGCCATAATTGCCATTTGTGAATCTGAAAATAATTGTAAACCCATGTGCAAATTCATTGTATGAAATACTGGTACAGCTTCCGTCTTCCTTGAATTATTTTCTAAATTTTTAATTAAGCACATGACTTTTTCCCAAGAATTGTTTGCTTCGTTCCCTAATGGATTTCTTAATTTCAAAGTTTGTTTTTTCAGATGAATGTCTAAAAAGTGAACTAATTCGCTTAATATATTTCTTAGATCATTTAATCTTGGTAATTTATGATCTAGTGCATGATAGAATGTTTCCTTAAATTGTGCTATAAACAAAAATTTACAATTAAAGAAATAGAAAATTAGATATATATAATAACATTAAATACAAAAATAATAATTACGAGCAAGATCTACTCCAACATTTGGCATTTCGCATAATCCATAAGTAAATAAAAACTTCAACTGATCTAATCTCCATTCTTTATCCACAAGCGTTTTAGGATGTCCCATTAATCTAATAAAACACAACAAATTAATTGTATGTATTTATACACATATACATAATTGCATCAAAGGTAAACTTCAATGAATTCATTTTATGAAATATTAAATACCTTGTTAATAAATGTGCAGCATAAATTCTTTCAGCATTTGTCCAAAAAGATTCTGCTTTGGTGTTTAATTTGTTCCTGGGTATTGTATTTTCAATTATATCTCTGTATATTTTTGATACTTTCTTTATACCATCTAAGTTTAAATTTCCAGTAAGCATTTGAATTACTTTTATACCTGTTTTTTTCTCTATCATTAAATCACCTGGATACAATATTAATTTCTTTAACACAGCAATTTGTATTTTTAATTTTGTATCGTCACTATTTGTGGCTAATATTAATAAATTTAAGACTTCTTTAAATCCAAGAATTACTTCATCTTTATTATGGTACTTAGATCCAGTACACTTTTTTAACATATGTTGCACATAATTTGGTGATAATAATGATGGAAGTATTGATTTATCTATAGTATTTGATAATATAAATTTGAGAATCTGTACAACTAAATATTCATCAGTTTTAGATGGTTTTGTAAATTTCTGATCTATGTGAGTCCAAAAATCAATAATAAGTTCAGTTGATACTAAATTCTCACAGAAGAATTTGAATATTGGATGATGACATGATATAATTCTGGGTAAGTCCTGAACATTAATAATATGTAATTTATACATTTTTTAATAAATAATTTGTATAAATAAAATCATAAATAGTACATCATACTTACCAATAATACTTTCACTATATCATCCATAGTTTCTTTGGTAATAATGTTTTCCGTGCCAAAATGTTTTTTCGAAAATTCATTTACAAGTGATGGACATTTGTTTTTTATTACTAACAAAGCATAAAATGAGTCTAAAGTTTGTTCTGTCCATGGTTTACCAAATTCTTTTTCAATAACTGGCCAAACTGATTGTTTAATACATTCAGCATCAATTTGATTCACAAATTCAACAAGGAATGAAACAGAAACAATTGATAAATAACTACGTTGTTTGCCTGCATTGATGAGATCTTGTATAATTTGTAGTTGTATTTCACAAGTACTATTTAAAAGTATTTTAGATCTTATTAATGTCCCATATGCTAATATGCGTCCCATATAAATATCACCATTTTCCTAAAATGTTACAGTTAATATTAAATATAAAATATTATTACAATATAACTCAAATTGATTTCCTTACACTTTTACTATTACTGTTTACAGGATGTAATTCACTGTTTACTATAGATAAAAATTGTTCAATAGATGTTTCTGGATTCATTATTAAATAAACTGTCAAAGTTGTATAAAAACCTATTCGTGAAGTTGTTTTTGATGAACCTAAACTTCTAATAAGTCTTTTTATAGCATATTTAAATTCTTGACTATCACTGTGTTCCTAAAATATTATATTTACAATTAATTTTTCGATGAAAAAACTATGATCATTTCTCACACTCTATAAATAATGTCTTATTTTGTGGTTATCTCTAAATAAACACTTACTGAGTTTTGTTGAATTAAATACTTTAATAGGGCAATCCCACCGTGTATTCTTTCAGATTCTATTTCATTTTTCAATTTTGTAAAATAATCAAGAATTGTACAATCCATTTTATTTGTATTCGTCATTTCAAAGTCATTTGAAACAACCTCTACCATGTGCATAGCCTCGTCTGCCATCTTGCTTTGTTTTAAGTAAAAACTACGTTAATCTAATAAGTATCTAAATTAAAAATATATAAAACAGTTGAACGAATTAGTATTTTAATAGTCGTATAATAATAGATACCTAAATGATATAAACAATGGACTGAATGAAAAATTAAAAAGGCATATTTCAGTTTTGAATTGCATAGATTATCAATCATTTTTCTTAAGAATTTCGTACCTTTGTATGAAATTATTGAATCACTATTAATAAAAATTTGTAGTAATATTATGTAATTCAAGTATATAAATAAGGTATTTTAAAAAAGGACTTATTATGGTTTAATTATTAATGAATTCATAACAAAAATAATAGTAATTATATTTTTTATTACAAACTTTCAATCATTTTATAAAATATTGTTAAAATTCATTAATACAAGCAACGATTCCAAATGAAGTATAGTTGGTTTGAGCGATATAGTGAAGTCATAAAATCAGTCAAACACAAAAGTACAAATGTTCTGATTTCCGAAACAACAACTTAAGATATTTTAGAGAGATAAAGAGCTTGAGCGTCAATCAATGCCGTATGATGTCGATTTGAAATGGGTTCTTCCGTTGCTGGATATTGCTGATAATGGTTTACGAAGAATTAAAGTTCTTCTAAATGTTTGAAATATTAAATAGAATTTGATGGTAGCAAAATGTTAATAAATAGTAGTTAATGAATTAAGTTAAAATTGAAAGTTAATCAACAGTTTTTTTCTGTTTTACTGCTTGGCATTAAATACCTACAGTTACAAACTGCAGACGGTCCTGAGTATCGGCAACATCAATGGTGTCATTTTGGCATCAATTGGGGCCACCTCTAGATACAATAATTTACGACATCACTATATTGCTCAAATCAACTATAAGTTTCTATAGATTCACGATTTTAAATTTTTTAGTGATTAGAAAAGTGCCATCTTGAATATAGTATCGCACTCAACCCGCGCGGTCCCGGTCAGTTTCGTGCATCCAATATGGCTGGACGAGGTGGTTACGAAGATTCAAGGCAAGTATAGGTTACGATTTTTCTCATGTATAACAATTATTGAGATTTTTCAAAATAGTGCAAAGGTAATGTATAATTAGTGCATCGAGCTGGTGAATAAATGTTTTTTTTTTCCAATAATTTTGCAAATTTAAGGTTAAGTGAGTTTCGATTAGAGTGCAGCCAAGCACCTTGCAGATATGGTACCTTCCACACGCGGCTTTATTTTGGCAGGTCAAACAATGGTGTATTTTAGTCGTAGTATTATTAACAAGGATATTAATTTAAAATTTGTATAATAGATACAGTTTATTTATTTTAAAATACTATTTGTTGCGACACACAAGACTAATTGTTTTCACATCACTCATTAAAATATATGCTTGAGAAAATTAGTACCTAAATGAGTGTCAGTAGCGTGAATTTCTATATTTTATTGTTCTTTCCTAATCTTCAAAAGTGAATACAAAGTATTTCGTAATTTTAAGAATATGAAATGATTACTTCATGTCAATTCTAAAGTGCTTAGTGTTTTCTACTGTTTTTGATTAAATAGGGTTAAAGAATAATGAGATGTAAAAATGGTGCTTCATTTCTACCAAAATATTCGTTGTGTATAATTTATATATAGTTCTGAATATTAAATATTTGTATAAAATAATATCTTATGTGATATAATTTATTTGTATATATAAATATAAATTATTTTTGTACAGAGATTATGGCGGTACATATCGAAGTGGCAGAAAGCCATTACCAACTGAACCACCTTATACTGCATATGTAGGAAATTTGCCAAATGGGATTGTACAAGGAGATGTTGATAAGATCTTTAAAAAACTTAATGTTAAAGGAATCAGATTGGTTAAAGACAAAGATACTGATAGGTTTGTATAGCTCTAATCAATTATATTAATTGCATATCTTCTATTATAAATAATAAAATCTTTTTATGTTATACAATTTTTGAAGTTATCTAACTCTTTGTAGGTTTAAGGGTTTTTGTTATGTTGAATTTGAAGATTTATCAGACCTAGAGGCAGCATTGGAAATGGATGGAGCAGTAGAAGTAGATAAAAGTATCATTAAAATAGATGTAGCAGAGAATAGAAGAAACGAACGAGGCGGTGGTTTTGACAGAAGAGGTCGTGGTGGTGGTGGCATTGGAGGAGGCTTTAGAGGAAGAGATGGTGGTCGTGGTGGATATGGTGATGATTTTAGAAGCAAATCTATGTATTCTAGTAAGCGTTATGCTTTGCATAACGTATATCTGAAGTTTAATATTATAAATCAATTTGACTAACACAATAGTTTATTTTATTATAATATTTTAAAGTTTAACAGCTTTTCATAAATGTTATTTCAAATAAATATTTTACTATAAACTTTTATACCGTAAACATATATTTGCATACATATATTTGCATACATTCATTGTTACTATAAGATTCATTGTTACTATAAATTAAAGTTCAATATAACAATAATGTGCAGGAGGTTATGTAAGTCAAGGTCAAGGTCAAGGTCATGGTAGTAGACAAAGTAGTACATGGGACATGAAGGGTAACCGAGGTAACAGTAGTCAGTTTAATGATGATGCAGGAGGTGGAAATCGAGAATGGTTGCATAATGCGCCGTCTAGATCATATGGTAATAGACCACCCCCGCGTGGTACTGGGCCTGAAAGAAAACCATTTCATGATGAATCATATCATAAAGATCCACCACCAGGTTTGTTTGTATACAAACATTTTATAGATATATTATCTGTGAAATGATAAAAAGTAATTTTAATGTTGTTATTACAGCTGAAACAAGTGGAAGAAAACGTCTGGTATTAGCACCAAGAACAATTCAAGATCCTATAAATGCAATTGCAGAATCAAGTAAATCAAGTTCAATTTATGGTGGAGCAAAACCTCGGGACGAAAAAATTAATACTAATAATACTGACAAGTAAATACATTATCATTGCTAGTTTCTGATTCCCTAAATTTTAGGGAAAGGAACTTTCCCAACAAAAACATTTGGAAACCAATACAAGATTCCTTAGTTTCCTCAAGTGTAGTGGGGAGAATCTTTTCAGAGATGAAATTGTAATAATTTTTACTTACCCCTAAGGGGAGTCTTCCCCACAATAATGATAAAAAAGTGATTTAATGAGATTTTTAAGTTCTACGTATTTGGCATTTTTAATTAAGAAAATTTATTCATCTAGTGCCCCTTCTATTCATACTAATTTCTTAGTTAAAAAGATGTAATGTTAAATTGAGAATTTAAAGTAAAAGTTGTGTGCATCATGCATGCTCCAGTAATATTGGTTATGTGTAATTATATGTATATACATATGATCAATCGTATCACGTATGTATATTTATATATGTGTGTGTGTGTATGTGTATACGCGCGCGCGTACGTGTGTATTGTATATATACATCCACGTGCGCGCGCGCACACATGCACTTGAATTATATGTATATATATATGTATATGTATATATGTATGTATATATATGTATATATATGTATATATACATATATACAGGTGAATAATGATGGTGTACGAAAAGTACATTTTAATATTCACGTCAATTTCATGTTGGGTGTTGTATCAGTTTATAATAATAATAATGATTTGATTCCGCAAAAACTGATCTTAATAATATTGTACTCAAATAATCTTTATTTTAAAGAGTACAAGATATCCTTCATTTCATTTCCTTCCTTATAATTTTTATATTTCACTTTAATATCAATCATTGTACGTGCTTATTAAGATGATTCATGAATAATTGTTTAATATGAAAAATCGTATTTGATTAAAAAGATTAAACAATTATTTACGTGCTTGTGAAATAATGACAAACAATTATAAGAAATAAAAGATATTTGAGTGTTTGAAAAAAATTATACATCACTAAGTGGTATGAGAATAATGTGCCGATTATTATTACGCATTAATATTGTGTAACGGATTAATTAACTACGCTAGCAATAAATGCCGATCACTTGAAAAAAATATCGATGAATATAAGATAATAAATAAAGAAAAACTTCAATTAATGACAAATACTATGTAAAACTATGCTTGTATATGATACTATTTCCTAAATAAAGTAGTCGTTTGCCTTGTATTCATGTAATGTATCTTTAAAAAATTAAGAAATAGAAAATAAAATTTATATGTAATTTGAATTGTGAACAATATGTAACATTAATATATTTTGTAAGTTACTCTTAAATAAGGTAATTTAATGTTTAATTTTAACATAAACTTTTAAACATTAAACGAATATATGAATATAATTAAGTAAGATCAATTATATCTTGCATTAAAAATTATTTATGCCACTAAAATTTGTAATATAAAAACAAAGTTATGATCATAATATCGTTTATGAAATACCAAAGTTTATTTCGGTAGCCACGCCTAAACTTCTCCCT